GACCTGAGGACAGTCCCTCCTGAGATGCCCTCGCCGATCGCACACATAACACGCCCGGGGAGGGGTGGCGGCTCCGTGGTGGGCTCTCTGCCCACTCCCTCCTCCCCCAGTGCGCTGCTGCTCATATTCTGCTTCTAGAAGCGCTATCCTTCCAGTTAGCCCTCCTACCGTGGAGTCTAGTTCCCCCATCTCGGATCGGATGGTCTCAACGGAGGATTTCAGCTTGGTCATATTCTCACCTACGTGGGTTATCTTACCATCCATATCTCCGATGCCGGTCTGTAACCCAGCTACCCACCCCGGAGTTGTTTCGCTGGGTCTCTGGGGCTCCCTTGCCCGTCCCCTTACTGCGATGGCGAGCTCCTCCTCCTCGTCCGAGAGTAGGCTCGCTACGGCGCACTCTCGTCCCCTCCCTCGAGGCTGCGCGCGCTCACCAGAGAGCTTCTCGCATTTACGCGCGCGCTCGACAAGTGTGTTAAAGGAGAGGCGTGCACCGTCTATATTTGGCTGCCACCACGGGGTGCGTGCCAAATATCGCTGGACCTTCCCGGCGGCGAGGCTCTCAATTACTTTCGCCTCGTGCTCCGGGTACGCAAGCTGGGTCAACATGCGTACGTCCTCGGCGTAATCTCGCAGATCCTCGCCGGGCTGGCGGCGGCGTGCCTCTAAGGCCGCCTGCGCCTCCTCCTCGTCATAGGCGCCGAAGCGCCGTTCGAGTTCGCACATTAATTTTTCCCACTGAGTTTGTGTGCTTGCGGGCAAAGCTTCCACAAAGTCAGCTGCCCGTCCATCTAAATGTATCTCTAACTGCTGCAACGCCTCCTCATCCGACCACCCATTAACCTTTTTAGCCCCCCTGATGCTGCGGGCAAACGATTTCCATGATGGAATTCCTTTGCCCGTAAATGTGCATTTGATTTTAACCTGGGTTGGGGGGCCTCTTTCCCTTGGGGGTGCGGGGGATCGTCCCGCTTCTGACACCAATATGTGGGGGTCGCTAGTCCCCGAGATCCCTCCCTCGATAATGCTAACGGCCGGGCTAGCATCATCAATCGCCCCCCCGCTGCTAAGTTCCTCACCTATGGCGCGGGAGCCGTCGCCCGCGGATTCCCCTCCACCGCGGGTCCGCGTAATGGGCATGGTTAATTACCGATTAGTATTCTGCCCCTCTCTACTACGATACTTCCCTTTCCTAATCGCGCGCCTGCAACCCACGCGGAGCGAACGCACGCACGCCCACACACACGCCGCTCCGCGCACTCCAACTCAACTCACGTTATACTCGCGCACCTGTATCACACACGGAGTGAACACACGCGACACCCACTCTCGCACCGCTCTGCGCAGCGCTCCCCCGAGGCGAGCCGCAGCACTACAGAATCACTGCGTACCCACGCGCAACCCGCGCGCTCAGCTCCGCGCAGCGCTCACTCACGTGGCGAACCACTGTGCACACAGCGCACCCACACGCTCACACTGCACGACAAGATCACGCGAGACCACGCTTCGCTATTAATGATTTATTATAGGCCACCTGCGAATTGATGTTGAATCAGTGAGTCGACGAGGCTGGCCTATTCCACTAAACCTGTACCTATTCCCTATTTATCGGCTTACGATACCCTACTTCACCTCCCCACTCACTGTTTGGTGCCCGCGGAGGTTCGCTGCTCTCTGCGCTAACAGCGTACCTCGATGCGTCGCACGGACGTCCGGGTCGCTGGCTGGAACCCCTGCTGGTCCGCTGGCCTGGAGAGAAGGGGCGATTTCCCCTCTCCGCTCCTCTATTTATCCTCCCTACCTCAAAGGGGATGCTGCGCTGAACAATCGGCTCGTGCACCCCAAGCCCGTGCACGGCGGTTCCCCGGGCGCTGTTGATATGCTAATCAGTGTGCTGCGTGCAAGGCGTAAATCCTAATTAATCCCTTACCCTCCCTAACAATGGGGCCTGCGCGCTCAAGCGCAATTATCCCAACCCTCCATGACTATGCGCAACAGCCCCTGTGAGCCCGCTATTCATGCTGTCCCGTGCCTCCCCTGCTTGCCCCGTCGACTCGTGGGGGTGTGTGTGGGGGGAAATGCGCCTCAACCGCGGTGGCCGAATGCCCCACGCCGCGACCACACCATATTAAGGCCGGCCGCAGCGCCGCGGTGCCACGTAGCACGGGGAGGTCATCCAATTCCCTGATCGCCGGAAACCGTGAGAATTAATCCCGATAAGGGTCTCTCGGATAAAAACCGGTCGATCAGGTGACCTTCCCTTCCAGCTCTATGGGGGGGGGGGAATGCGTGCGGGTGTGTGCTTATGTGGGGCGGGTGATGGGGGGCAGTGCGGTGGGGGAAGCCGGGCGGCTCCCTGGTTCGGCAGAGCGGCCCCGTCGTTGTGGCACCACACATTCCTGATGCGTCTCCAAGGTGGTTTTACCAAGTTTCCCTGCTATCTTTGCCTTTAGAACAGCAGGGACACCAAGGCGTACTACCACAGGCGGGACTGGCCACAGCGGACCAAGTTCTCTGTAGGGAGGAACAATGTTAAGTGGGAGCCACTGGTGGACCCCTGAAAGGTGCTGATGCCACCACTGCACATCAAATTTGGCCTTATGAAACAATTTGTCGGAGCTGTAGATAAGGAGTCGGCAGCCTTCAAGTACCCTAAGCTGTCTGAGGCAAAGGTCAAAGCCAGTGTCTTCGTCGGACCACAGATAAAGAAGATCCTGGAGTGTAATGAATTCCCCAAGAAGCTCACTAGTAAGGAGAAAGCGACTTGGAACAGCTTTGTCGCAGTGGTTCGTGGCTTCCTGAGCAATCACAAGGTCAAAAACTATGTGGAGCTGGTTGAGACTGGTGAAGAACTCCGGCACAGTGGGCTGTAGGATGTCCCTCAAAGTCTATATCCTTGATGCTCATCTTGATAAATTCAAGAACATGGGAGCGTACTCGAAGCAAGGCGAGCGCTTCCACCAGCATATACTGGACTTTGAATGCTGCTACCAAGGACAGTAGAACGAAAACATAATGGGAGACTACATTTGGGGGCTGATTCGTGAAAGTGATTTACAGTATAATCGTAAATTTCGAAAAACTACTCGCTTCTAAATCTTCTGTAGTCATTTTTTTATTACTTTAGTATAAATACATCTTCATTTTGATTCATGTTGTTTTTTTTGACTTTGTGAACGAAAATACATAATTTCACCCGTTTTCTCATTGAAAATAAGTAAATTTCTAAATATCACTGTCCTGGTCACAAAAGCAAAGTTTGTGGGGTATAATAGCCATTTTCTATACTTTCTAGGCATAAGCAATTAGGAAATAACACTTACTACCCAGGAACAAAAATTGTGTTACAGTGATAGAACTGGGAAGGGTGTGGGGCTATGCAAATCCGACTGTGGGCCCCCCACCTTTCTCCTGACTCACTTTTACTTAAATTTACCTTATGGCGGGGTCCCGAATAAACAGAAGTCAAAATCGTAATTATTTTTTGGCAACTCCGTCCGACCGCGCACATAAACGCCCCGACCCACCTGGCGCGGATCATTATGTTGTCGTGTCGTCCAAGCGCAGCAGCGAGGACGAATGCGCAGAAGAAAACAAACTTTGATTAGCGCATCGTGTAGAGCTAGTCGAAAGGAATAGATTGCCGTATGGTTCGCCTTCATCGGACATAAAATTACGTCGCAACGCAGTTCATGCGAGAGATATTTTTAACCCGTATACAATAATATGTTAGTCTATAACTATATCTATTTTTTGTTGCACTGTTTATTGGGTTTAGAGGAAGACCGTCTCCCAGTAACAGTATTAATAATAAATGTAAAGAAACAATACTCACAATTAAGCTATCTTGCTTTCATGCCGGCCCCATCGCTCTTGGGTTACCCCAAAGGGGGTGGATCGCGCAACTTTCTGCTGCTCTATTGATACGATAGCCAGATGCGTTAATCGGGCTTGGTCCATGGTAGACCGCAGGTAATTTTTAATTAATATTTTTTCTAGAGTTTTTTTTACATGCTGTTACTTGTTTATCTGTCGATTCGGGGCCCCCTTGTGGCCGACTCGGCTCCTATGCGTCGCATAACGCTGCCACACACCCCCAACCATCGCAGCGCCCCTGTTATATTTCCCCTGACGGTCCCGATGGTGGGTCTGTACCCCAACTATAATTACCCCTACCTATCACCCTTCAACCCCTCCCCAACGCCACTCATGTATCTCCATAAGTACTATGTGTGTAACCACGATGTATTTAACCACCATAGCATGTTCATTTTGTGATGCATTATATTATTACATGACATTTAAAAGTATATATTTTTTCCATTTTCAACAAATTTGATATGGTTTCATTAGCTGACTTAGTCTGGCTAAATGTGAAATCTGGCAAACCGGAGTTTTACTTTGGGCCCACAAGTGAACGTAAAAGGATAATTGTTAGGTTCAAGGGCACTGTGCGTGTGTTTGGCGTCAGTGGTTGTCCCATGGATAGAGCCTGGGCTCAGGGCTGTAAACGGGATATGGAGCAGCAACCACCCTCTACTCATTTTGATCAAGTCATTAATTTTGACTTTCGATTCAATATAAAAACACATTGGCAGATGCAAATACTATTCTATCCACTGGTGATGATTCACACAAGTGTTGAAGAGAATCTGTCCTTAGGAAACCACGGTATAATGCCACACAAAGGGGGTTGTTCACTAGTCTATCGATCTCAGAGGGATCATAATCTGAGTCAACCGCCCCCCAACCCAAATAAGCAGTGAGGAGGCATTAGGTGCTCATCTCTTTACAGCTCTGAGCCAGTGGTGAAAGTTTCACATTCCCATGATGGTTGGCAAGTTTATCCGCATAGGACAAACGACTTGACGATCTTTGAAATTGCCTAACTTTCTAACTTTGAAGAAATATTGAACCATGGCTATCTTAGAAAATTCAGAATTTCTCGTATATTGGGGTATTAGGCAAGGCTAATATGCCAACGGTTTGGTATCATTTAGGCTAAAAGAGGACAGCTACACATGCCAAGACCCGTTCGAGACTGAACGTGGACAGCTGCTGGTGCTGGGCTCTAACTGCTCGCTGTGTCAACGTGTTGTGTGCACGAGCCAGGTAAACGCTCTCCACTCGCGAATGCCAGGCGCGCTCGCTTCTCACTTTGGGACAAATGGAGGGTTTGATCTGAACAGGCACACTCATTACGTCTGCTTTATTTTATTACCTCTGCTTTATTGTATTCCTTGTATTCTTCAACTTAGATGCTAATTATTGCATTGTTGTGTATTTGCAGGTTGGGATTTACATTTTATACTGGATTTTGTCATTTATGCAGGCAATTTTTTTTTCTTTCAAATTGGCTAGAAATTTATTATGGGGCCTAGGACATTTGGCAAAAGATCATATAGTGCAGTGTAAACGATCCATGGTAGTGCTCAATGTGATGCCATTTGTGCCAAGAAGGCCTGGTATGCAGAAATAGCATTATCTTCCATGATGGTTGTATTTAACAGGACCCATATCTGACATAGCGGGCTCTTGCCGATAAGTATCTGCCAGTTCGGCAGCATAGGTTCAAGCAAGTCTAAATGCTGATAAGACACTGAATGTCAAAACCAGTCCCGAGTTATGTGTGGTGAGCCAATGCTGCTGAAATTATTCACTCATAAGGTTGTGTGGCTAATGAATGTTTACATATGTGTATAATGTTGAGGGATGGATATATAAATGTGTATTAAGTAAGAACATTTGTTATTGTGCACTCTTATGAGTCCAATCCATCACGAATGCACATGATCACACCTTAAAGTAGGCTATCTGAAACAACAATACTGTTTTGAGTCTCGATTTCAAGCTTTCGTGACTGCAGGGATTCATCTTCTTGGTTCTTTCGGTAAAGTCACGTAGAATGGAAATAATAAAATAATAATAAAACATTAAATAATTCTCACGACGTTTCGGCCACAACGCAAGTAGCCGTCCTCAGGTGGAGAACATCTGTCGAGGAGACAGTCTGAATGACAAGCCCCAGGCTTGGAGCGACTATTTAAGCTGGGATGGAGGGGTGAAGAGCGCCTTGACAAAATAATTTGCATATCAATAGGAATTTAGCATATTTATGGGAAATGCAGATATGCGATTAGTACTACTTGTGAAATGCGTAGGAGGTTTGGCGAGGGGTTTAAAGTCATTATGCCCGTGCATTATTCATGTATAAGGTATAGGGTGGTGTATAGCAATACAGTATGTAATTTAATGTTGGGTTTGTCTATGGCAGTATATAGTACGGTGTAGACTCGTGTGATGTAAGAGAATAAAGTTTAGATGGAAGCATATTATATTTTTTGCGACATAGAATTGTAATGTATTACTTACTGTTAGTAACTCAGCTTATTGTAGAGTATATTTAGTATACTGATGATACTATGTAGTTTATACTTTAGTTGTTTACGTGGTGGTTTAGCTACTGCAGCTACATACTATTAACACTCTTTCCCTTTATTAATGCTACCCCTATCCCCTCCCTTTGATGCTGCTAATCCTGCATAATGCACGGGCATAATGACTTTAAACCCCTCGCCAAACCTTCTACGCATTTCACAAGTAGTACTAATCACATATCTGCATTTCCCATAAATATGCTAAATTCCTCTTGATATGCAAATTATTTTGTCAAGGCGCTCTTCGCCCCTCCATCCCAGCTTAAATAGTCGCACCAAGCCTGGGGCTTGTCATTCAGACTGTCTCCTCGACAGACCTGTTCTCCACCTGAGGACGGCTACTTGCGTTGTGGCCGAAAAGTCGTGATAATTATTTTATTATGTTTTATTATTATTATTGTATTATTTCCATTCTACGTGACTTTACCGAAAGAACCAAGAAGATGTTTTGAGTCTGTTGCAGAACTGGCTCACTCAGGCTGGGTGTATTGCACGAGATATAATACGCAGGTACAGCAGGTCGCCGCGAGATGCGGATCGTAGTCGGAGTCGATTTGGTTCTGTTGAAGCTGGTACGCACTGATCGGTGAGATAGGATGGAGCAGATTTATGAAGACTCTTGAAAACAAGTAGGTATAATTTATACACAATCCTGTATTTAATAGGTAACCAGTGCAGCTTATCACATACCAAGCTCGTGATCGGATCATATTTCTGTTTCCTAACTATCAGACGAGCTGCAGCATTTAACACTGACTGGAGTGGCCACAGCTGAACAGCGCTGGCACTGCCGAAGATGCTGTTGCAGTCGTCAATGCAGCTGAGGATAAATGCGTGGACGAGCATCTTAACAGTCTCCACAGTCAGAGTACGACGGACCCTGTGCATTTGTCGAAGCTGGTAGAAGCATCATCCTGTCAGGCACCTGGTGTCAGTGGGGAATGTCAGTTCGCTGTTGACAAGGACACCAAGACATGTTGCCTTATCTGACACTGGGATGTCATAGCCATCTATGTAGATAGACTCACAGTTGACTGGCAAGCTGATGGTGGGTCCCAAGTATGATTAATTTAGTCTTATTTCAGTTTAGTTTCAGAAGGTTTGATGTCATCCAGTCCTTTATGTCATTGATCCACAATATGAGGCATGGAACGTGTGAGACACATGAGTCAGCTTTCATATGGAAGTACAGTTGTGTGTTGTTGGCATATGAATGCACGCCGATACTTTGACGACGGGCGATGCCGATGATATTAGAGCGGTGTAAAATAGGAAGAGCCCCGGGCCAAGTACACTTCCGTTGGCACACCGCACATCATTGATGACCTGTGTGACAAGTTACCGACAAAGCTGACTCTTTGTGTCCGACTTGTAATGAAGGACTCAATCCATGAAAGCACGGTACCTTGTATACCATAAGCAATTTGAAGGCGGCTGACTAAGATGTTATGATCAACCGTGTCAAACGCAGCAGACAGGTCTAGTAAGCAGAGTAGCGTGACTTCACCACGGTCAGCTGCCACAAGTGCGTCGTGGATGACCTTCAGCGTTGCCGTCTCTGTTGAGTAACCATGCCGGTATTCTCTAGATAGGCCATAAGCTGACGACATACCAGTCTCTTGACTATTTTCGACATGAATGTCAAATTTGAGATTGGCCTGTAGTTATTTTTGTCAGTTATATTTGTTTTGTTTGCCTATTTTCATGCTATGATGGGGAAGTTGTTGTGAGTACTGTGTGGATTATTTGAGCTGTGTACCATTTTATAACATGTTGTATCTGTATGCAGGACTGCAGTCTTTTCTACACGAGGCGGTTTTGCTTGGAGTGCATTAAACAACACATCTCTGAATTTCCGGCTGAGATCCAGTTCGAACTGAAAAAGCGAGGAGTTTTATCTTGAGTCTGGCACATAACATAAAAATGGGTGCATTATCGAGTTGTCTTTATTTGAAGCAACATGTGACTAAATGCACAACTGATTACTGCTTAATTGACCCAGCAAAACAAAAATACAATATATGAACAGTTGCTGAGCACAGGTAAAAGGGCCAAAAACAGCAAGTGCCCAGCAACAAACAGCACCATCAAAGTTATAATTAGTAAGAGTTAATATGCCTCTGAAAGTGAGCAAAGTTATTATACGAGCTTGGGAAAGGAGGCAATTCCAGATTAGTGTTATGGAAGAAGCTAAATACGTTAATGTAACGAGTACATTTTCACAGTCAATGATTACTCAATGGTTTTTTGGGTTTGGTCACAATTATCTGGCCTAATATATTTTGGTAACACCCTTCACCACACATGCTTGGAAACGTGCATATTTAATTTATTTGGCTGTGGGGCAGTAAGAGGGTATTAAACACACATTTCAGCAGATTGTTTCACAGCCTAATCCAAAAATCTTAAGAATCCTAACGACAAGTGATTGTGACCTGCAAGTGTTGTGGTTCAATAACATATGGACAAGATAAAGCAATTGTCGTGGCATATTACAGCAGCAATGTCCCAGTTTTGCGTTGGGGATGCGTTCCTAAGAGGTGCAACGACCAATATTGAAACGACTTACATCAGTGATTGTTCTTGTAAGAATTAATGGGGATGTGTTCCTAACATTGCCACTTCACCTATTGTTTAACTTTTTTCCTGTGATATTACCCCTTTTTGTTTTTGGTTAATGACAGTTATATTCAAATACACTTGTGAATAACATTCAAATTCCCAAGACATTTAAATAAAAAAATAACATCATATTTTACAGTTTGAATTTTTCTTACCTTTGGTACTGGGCTGGCTTAGCGTGCTGGATGGTGGCGGCGAGGTGGAGGAACAACAACCTTTCGCTACTAAGTGGTGGTGACGTAATCACGGCACTTGTGCCAGGCTGTGCACTTTAAGGCCACGTGAAGTGTCTAACGTCCGACACTTCACAAAGGGAAGCATTGTTAATCTCATAAATAATAAATATTGTATATTTGCATGTAACAATGAAAGAAACTGTAGTTAAATAAAACGTCAATATAAATCTGTTTTATCTGCACTTACCTTGAGTCCTGATGCAGGCTTGGTTGTCGGAAGGCGGGCAATGAGTCACCACAATTGCACACACACACGGAGGCACTCGCACCAGTACCCACCATTCACCAGTAAGTAACAGTGACGTCACCACGATGCCTGTGCCAGGCCAGGTGCACTTTGAGGCCACGTGAATTATTGAAGGCTCGCTGGCAGGTCACCGGACAGACCCAGGTTCAATGGGTTGACTGAGATGACTAACAAATGCACCAACTATACCCCCTACTGTGCCAACTTGCTGCATTATAGCCGCCCGGCGCTTCGCTCGTCATTGTGAGCGTCACTGCTCTGCCCTCCCTCGTTGGAGGGCGACTGTCTCCAACTGCCCAGTAGCATAATTCACGAGCCTCCTCCAGGCGGGCCAATCTTGACACTGCTGGTACCAGTCTTTGCCAAGTCCACTCAACGTCACATCCTCCTGTACCGAATCAGTTAATCTCTTCTCCAGCTGATGTCGTGCCCATTTAGCCCCCGCTATGTGGCCAAACAGAAGCAGCTTTGGGATGTGGTGGCTGGGCATGCGGGCTACATGACCTAGTGAACGCAGCTTTGCCTGCCGGAGGAGCTCACTGATGCCAATGTGTCCAGATTTTCGAGGATTTGTGACCTAACACAATCCAGCCTGGTTAATCGTCGGCATGCCAGCCTGAATGTTTCTAACCAGCGCAGATGTTTCATCAGAGAGGTACACGTTTCACAAGCATAAATAAGGGAGGGCATGACTGTAGCCGAGACGACCCGAAGCTTTGTGTGGAGCAACAGACCAGGTAGCTTCCACACAGCATTGCGCAGCTGATTAAAGGATAATGCTGCCAGATTCGGAGTGAGACCTTTGCTGTCAAACTGGAGCTGGTCATAAGCACACTGCCCAGGTATGGGAAACTCTCCACAACTGCTCCATCACCAATGGGGAGCTGAGGGAGTGGAGTGATTGGTGGCACAAAATACTCAGGCAGGTGCTTAGTTTTGGTGGGGCTGATGGTAAGACCCCACCTCTTAGTGGCACGCTCCAGGTTCAGCAGCAGCATCTACAACTCCTGCTCTGAGTGAGCAGCAATCACCAGATCATCAGCATACAAACATGGTTAACGAATAGGGAGCCATCCCTCGACCGCACCCTGGCATCGATCAGCCTCCCGTTGAATATGTACCAGATGGAAATTCCTCCAGTCCAGTCATGGAAAGCTTATGATGTGGGAGCCAGAGGACATCCCTGTCGCACCTCGAGGTGAACAGAGAACGGCTCTGACTCCTGGTCATGTAACTTTACCCGGGCCTGCCCACCATCATGAAGACCCTTCATGATATTAGCAGAGAGTCAGAGATTCTGAAAGCACAAAGAACTACCCACAGTCCTGGCCTGTTGATGGTAGCATAGGCCTTGACGAGTTCGATAAAGCAGAGATGTAGGTCATGTTGGAATTCCCTACACCTCTGTTTTAGCAGATGGACAGATAATATGGCATCCGTGCAGCACCGCCCTGGTCTGAAACCACATTGGGGCTCCGCAAGCCTCTCCTCAGCATGCCTGGGAAGGCGATGTTGAATAATCCTTGCCAAGAACTTTCCTGGCACACTGAGAAGAGAGATGTCCCTATAGTTGTTAAAATCTGTGCCGGTCCTCCCTCTTAAAAGAGGGGGAACACCAGAACATCCTTCTAATTTTGCAGAACTTGTCCTGTGGTCCAAACAATTGTGATGTCATGTGGGCAGTTTGCACACAGATGCCACTCCCCCAGCATTTTGCTTGGGAGATCATCTCTGCCCAGCCCTTTTCCTGGTTTTAGACTTCCTCCAAATATGGCACCTCAGCTAACCATTCAGAAGGGGTGGCTGCTTCTGCCAATATTTGAGGCACAGCAGACCTAGCAGGGTCGTCCCCACCTTGCCCCATGATATTGTCTGAGGGAATTCCCCTCCCCTAAGACCTCACAAAAAAGCTCTGAAAACCTGCAGACCTGTTCCTGGGGGTCGGAGATCGGATTACCGTTCTTTCCCTTCAGGATGGTGTTAGGTGAGGTGCTGCAAGTTATTTTTTTTGATGGAATTAAATAGTGATTTGTGATTGCGGGCTACCGAGGCAGATTTCATCTCCCCAGCAACCCGCCCACACCAGTCATCATTGCAGCGACGCGGGGCTCTCCAAATCTCCGAGCAAAGGCTGCGGTAAGCCCACCATGGTGGAAACACGCACACACACCAACGACAATGATCCCCGTATGGTCTTAACAGCCCGTGGGGCAAGTTGCTGTTAGCGAGCAGCGCCAAGTGTGGGTCGGGCGACCTAAATCAGGTAGTGGTATTATTGATAAAGTGACTACGTGTTTGCAAAGCGACATAAAAAGGGGAAGACGTACATCAGGCCATTGCTCTATATCTAGTATGTTGGGGCGTGGCATCTTTAATGTCCTGCTCACATCTCTGTTACTGGAAGTCTTGTGGTGCGAGAAAAAAAATCTAAACTCATCAAACCCCTAAAGTATTGGTGTACTGCCCAGTGCTTTACCCCGTGCTGTGCCCCATGCTGTATCCCATTGCTATTCCCCGTGCTGTAGCCCGTGCTGGACCCCGTGGTGTTCCCTGTCCTCTACCCTATGCTGTACCCCATACTGTGCCACACATAAAAGGTGGTGGTGGCCGTGAAGTGGGACCTGCTGTGCCACAAAGTGGACCTAGTCACGGCTCGGTAGTTGACCGTAATCAGAAAAACTACCCCGCAGAGCGCACACTCACTCACCACTCACTCATCAGAATATTTTAGACTGGAGGAATCTGATGAGCTATGGAAGCTCTTTTTATACAATTGTCCACGAGGGGACGGGTCAGCAAGTTACAAAATATAAAAAGATAAGGACAAAAAAAAGACTGCCTTGACATCCAGCAGTTGATTGAAGGCTGATGATCCACTCAAAGTGCTGTGGAGGCAGCAGTGAGGGTTGGTGGATCACACACAGATGGGCTGTAAAACTCCATCCCTACCCATGGGTGTGGACCAATCTCCATCTTTTCCTTATGTACGGGCTAAAGTGTTGCCGCCTCGCTCGCCACACGCCTTGGTTTTCTCTGGTGCTCCTGTTTCCTCCCACACTCATTCGTTGGCTGAAAACGACTTAATAGAGGACTGCAGAGCTTGGGCAATTGTTGGTAATAGCGGCTCCTTACCGTCTGGCTGCTGCCGTCTGTGGTTCTCCAGCGATTGCGATCACGCAGTTTATAAAACGACAGTGCTATTACTGTAATGTGCAAGTGTGTGCGCAGTGGGGAGTGGTACCGCAGCAGTTATTGTGCTGCGCTACGAACCCGGCGACCCGGGTTCGATTCCCGCTCACGGCGAACACCAGTGATGATCATCTGAACCGGGCCTGGGCCTCCCGTAGGTCGACTCAGCCTCAAATTACCACCTGGTGCAGTGTGCAAACATCAGCACTGGAGAGAAAGGCGGCCGGGTGTGGTTCTGGCCATTCAACCCCTCGTGTGCCATTGCAGCCTTCATCAGTGCTCGCTAAGAGCACTTGCCCCTGCAGTCTGTTAAGGCTACATGGGGGGTCTTTGCCTTCACTGCCCGCACTCGCACTTCCTCCTTCTGCACGTTGGATGCTGGGTCAAGTCTGCTGATGGGTCCCACTGCGGTATCAGTGATGTTTGGATGAGATAGAATTGGTATTCCGATCCAGGCCAAAAAAAGTTCTGGGTATAGCCTCCAAGGAGAGGCATTGCTTGACCAGACTGCTCCGCTTGCTCAGCCAGAGTCCCACAAGAGCTGGGCCGGCAAACAACCAGGCAGAAGTCACTATCACCATCCCAAGTTATTGCTGTTGTTGTTGCTATTGCTGCGGCTGTTTTTGTTGAGACCCGTAGACAAATTGACGACCACAGTGGCGACCCACAGACGAACAGAGACCCAAATACACGCAGACCCTTAAACACTCAGAGACCCGAGGGTTTTGGTGTCTTTGAAATATTGCATAAAACCTAATTTAAGTGTTTGAAAAATTCTAGATTTGAAGTTTTCGTGACTGCAAGGATCTATACTCTTTGGTTCTTTCGGTTAAGTCACGTAGGTGAAAAAATTATAAAATAATAAAGAATACAAATAAGAATACAATTAAATAAAGAAATAGAAATAACTAAATTAAATCACGTTTCGATTGCAACACAAGCAATCATTATCAGGTGTGGAAATCACAGCTAGAAAATGTCTACTAAAGGAAAATGCAATTCAAGTAAATGCAGCTAAAAAGCATTTTTAATAACAGAGCAAACCGAAAGGTACAGCTACACGTGGAATCCGTTTTCATAATTCAGAAAATCCTTGCTTAACGTGTGGTGTTCAAACAACGCGTTTTTACTATCACGTGGTTCTTCCATTCGGGAACACTTTTAGCACAACGCGGAATGCGCACCGTTGCAATGCAGTTTCTGAGCAGTGGACAACTACTTTCTTGAGGTGCGCAGCTGAGTGGTACAGTGATACAGTAATGCAGAATAATACAGTAACGCAGTGGCAAAGTACCCTCAGTTATTTGTCCCGCCATATGTGTGGTGTGAGTAGTACCACGTATATTGCCAAACGTTATCCTTACTACTTTACTTATAGGGAAATTGTTTTCGCTTAACGCTATTTTTGCTTACGCTGCACTGTCCAAAGGTTAATATGAACCTTATGGTGGGACCCTGGGGTCCCATAAGTCCCCGGCTCTTGCATAAACTGCGTTGCAACGTCATTTTATGTCTGTTGAAGGCGAACCATACGGCAATCTATTCCTCTCGACGAGCTCTACACTATGTGCTAATCAAAGTTTTGTTTCTTCTGCGCAATCGTCCTCACTGCGCTTGGGCGACATAACAGAATGATCCGCGCCAGATGGGTCAAAGCGTTTATGTGCACGGAGTGACGGAGTTGCCAAAAAAATAATTACGATTTTTACTTCCGTTTATTTCGGACCCCGGGGTCACGCCATAAGGTTCATATATAGACTCAAACACGCTTTATACATAACCAACAATTTGTAATGCTACCACTACTTTTCAAATCAACAATATTTTACAACTGCACGGCAATAATATAATTACTGAAAGCTCATCTCGAACTGGATGATGCCTCCAGCTGCATGCAATCTTGTAGTGAGAAGCCTGTGAATAAAACTAACACTATGGAGATTCTCTCTCACTTTCCGAGTGTCACATTTTACCAGACTCCATTTCACATGTGCCGATCCCTCCTATTTACATCGTCCATAAATTCCATCCACACCTCCACAAACTCAAAGGATCGCCTCACTCTCCCCGTCAAGAGTTCGAATTCACCTGCTTCAAGCTGCCACCATCCACCTGGAGGTCGGGTCCTAGAGTCAATAAGGACACAGTGCACTTGAAGGGGTTCTCTCCTGTGTGTTCTCTGATGATCCTGAAGAGTTCCTGACCATGTAAATGACTTCCCACACACAGTGCACTTGAAGGGCTTCTCACCTGTGTGTGTTCTCTGGTGAATATGAAGAGATCCTGATTCTTTACATGCCTTCTCACAGTGCATTTGAAGGGTTTTTCACCAGTGTGTGTTTTCTAATGGCTGTCAAGGTGTGATGACCATGTAAATGCCTTCCCACTCAGTGTAATTGAAGGGCTTCTCGCCTGTGTGTGTTCTCTGGTGTTTTTAAGATATGAAACTTCTTAGGTGGTTCCAAAACTCTGGAGCAACTAAATTAAACGAAAACTCATCTCTGCCTGGATGATGCCTACAGCTGCATGCAACCTTGTAATGAGAGAAGCCTGTGAATAAGGTGAACGCTTTGGAGATTCTTTCTGTTACGTTCCTTGTTACAGAACTTCACAGAATCTGCTTCACATGTTCCTCCTACTTTGCTCTGTCCAAAATCTTCACCCACAATTCCTCCACAAACTCATGGAGGTTCCCTCGCTCTCCCTCAGAGTCTGAATGCTTCTCCTGTTTCACCTTGCCTCCATCCACCTGGAGGTCAGGTCCTGGAGTCGAATCTTCATCTTCAAATTTCACCTTCACTTCTTCACATTCTACCTTCACTTTTTCACATTCCACCTTCACTTCTTCACATTCCACCTTCACACCTGGCCATGTTTCAAAACTGGGGTTTGCTTGTGGTTCTTGTTCTATGCGAGATGTCCTCAATGTAGCACTTTGTCTTTCACTTCTTAATTCTACCTCCGTCTCCTTGTGGATCTTCTCATGCGCCTTTCGGGCTTGTGACCGTGCAAATGCCTTCCCACACACAGTGCACTTGAAGGGCTTCTCGCCTGAATGTATAATCTGATGTTTCTGAAAAGTTCCTGACTCTGCAAACGCTTTATCACACACAGTGCACTTGAAAGGCTTCTCGCCTGTGTGTTTTCTGTGATGAATACGAAGAGATCCTGAATCTTTAAATGCCTTCTCACACGCAGTGCATTTGAATGGCTTTTCACCAGTATGTGTTTTCTGATGTCTGTCAAGATTCGATAACCATGAAAAAGCCTTTCCACACACAGTGCACTTGAAGGGCTTCTCTCCTGTGTGTGTTCTCTGGTGAATACGAAGAGATCCGGAATCTTTAAATGCCTTCTCACACACAGTGCACACAAAGGGCTTCTCACCTGTGTGTGTTCTCTGATGATCCTGAAGAGTTCCTGACCGTGTAAATGACTTCTCACAAACAGTGCACTTGAAGGGCTTCTCACCAGTATGTGTTGTCCGATGGCTGTTTAGATATGATGACCGTGAAAATGCCTTCCCACACACAGTGCACTTGAAGGGCTTCTCACCTGTGTGTGTTCTCTGGTGAATGTGAAGACATCCTGATTCTTTAAATGCCTTCTCACACACAGTGCATTTGAAGGGTTTTTCACCAGTGTGTGTTTTGTGATGGCTGTCAAGGTGTGATGACCGTGTAAATGCCTTCCCACACACAGTGCAATTGAAGGGCTTCTCACCAGTATGCGTTTTCTGATGGCTGTCAAGATGTGATGACTGTGTAAATGTCTTCCCACACACAGTGCACTTGAAGGGCTTCTCACCAGTGTGTGTTTTCTGATGGCTATTAAGATTTGATAACCATGTAAATGTCTTCCCACACAAAGTGCACTTGAAGGGCTTCTCACCAGTGTGCGTTTTCTGATGACTGTCAAGATTTGATAACCATGTGAATGTCTTCCCACACACAGCGCACTTGAAGGGCTTCTCGCCTGTGTGTGTTCTCTGGTGTATTTTAAGATATGGTGATTGCGCAAATGCCTTCCCACACACAGTGCACTTGAAGGGCTTCTCTCCAGTGTGAGTTCTGTAATGATTCTTCAAGTTGCTCATCTGATCCGTGCTGTATGGACACTGGATGCATTTGTGTCTTTTAATTCCAGCTTGTTCCAAGTCACTCTGCTCCATGTGATTCATCTGCAGATATATGTACATACATATTACACACAATATACAGGCAGACCTCACTTTGTGTGACCCCATAGAGCACTTATTCCTTTGTCCTGGAGATTTTTAAAATAAAAAAAATTAAAAATCACAAAGCGGTTACAAGTGAGAATGCGCAGCGGCGCTGGCCAAGGAAACGTTTCCACCCCCATCATTCGCACAGTCATTGAGAGCGACACCATGCTCTGAGCCAAACAAACCCCATCCCCCAAAATTTGATTATCACTATTTGTGGTCACGATCACATTTCATGTTTCTAGAGTGTGTTAAGCCAGGTGAGAACTCACGAGACTAGGACAGAGCCTAAGGCTCTACTACAGAAATTTAGACTGAGGGCAAGCCTCAGATCAGAGGTACTGGAGCTCTTCTCTGATGACTCGGAGTGGGAGCGCAGAAGAAGCTTCTCCAACCTCATGTCCCACCTTTGCCTTGTAGGAGTACAGTAGAATGCATTCGTGAGTAGAATAAATAATACAGATTGATGTTTACCATCTGTATTATTAGTGCTCTTACCGATAGCCAAATGAAGCCCTCATATATTGCTCATACAAAATAAATAACGTTGTGGGAAAATCACCCTCTGTAGTGTACAATGGAGGTATGGTTGTATATTTTGCCAATTTTCAAAATCATAGTTCCTTGTAGATACATACGTGTATCCATTGCATTCCAAGAGTTGGAAAACTCGATGGGCATAAAACCAATTAATACTAGAGTGAGAAGTTGGAAAACAGAACAGGTTTGAGAGCTTGCCATGAACACATTCCTGCGGAGGGAGCTGGTAGTAACGTTGGGTTGCTCGGTCAATGGCTAGGGTCAGCGGCGGCGTGGTGTATTTCACAAATATGCCCGACTGAGGGCGGGCACAAGCCGGCGTGAGTAGGTTACACATTCCTTCGGAGTGGGCAGGTAGGAACTTGGTTGGACAGCGCGGCGTTCAGGGGGAAGGGGGGAGGGGCAGTTGGATGAGTGGGCATGTTTACCATTCCCCCCCACCCTCCCCGACATCGTCAACCAATCGCGGCGTAGCTTGGTGTTCGGTGGGGAGGAGCATGGGTGGGCGGAATTCGGAATATGCACGACAGACAGACAAATAATCCCTGGTGGGCAGTGTGGAACCTGTTGTTCCTACCTGTATAACACTCAAGGTAACTAAGACTCACACACATACACTCACTCTCACACTCTCAGAACGGTGGATCGTTGGGGATAATCGTCGGATAACTGTTGCGCATTGCCAATGTCACATTGTCGGGCCATGTTTTGGTTTCTACGGCCCTGGCTGTTCCGTACTTACTGGGGACCGATTTCCTTCGTCAAAATGCCCCTGAAGATTTGTATCGACCAGGGCTGTTTGGAATTGCCGTCGGGATGGCGTATGGAATTTCTCCCCTCTCCGACCCGCATGTGTTCTGCTAACACCACGGTGCAAGCGCTTGCGTACCGAATGGTGCGGATTCTGCCCGGTGCGCAAATGTTGGTGCCCCTTCGATTGCGTAAACCCCTCGATGCGCGCGCTGTGAGGGACGGTATTGTGTTGGGTCCCTCAAATAAGCTTAGTCGGGGGATGTCACTCATAGCGGCTCAGACGCTGGTGTCCCGGGACCAGGAACCATTCATACAAGTCCTTAATGCCGGATCGGACACGGGTTATGTGATTGCGCATGCGTCTATGGCATGTCCAGAGAAGGATGTCGTTGGCAATGTCAGGGTTGGCGTTCGGGCTCACAGACCTCGGGATATGGATGAGGGCTGGATGAATAGACTGTGCTCTGAATGCGGCGATTTATCCGCGGGACAAATAGGAAAGCTGAGAGCGCTCCCGCGGGAGTTTTCCGACATTTTTAGCAAAAGTAAATTTGATATCGGTCGCACGTCCCTTTTCCGCCACCATATTGACACGGGAAATGCCGCCTCCACTTGGCAGAATCCTTACCGCCTGAGCCTGGCCGAAAAGGAACACGTTCGGGCGGCAGTTGATGAGATGTTGGCCGCAGATGTCATCTTGCCATCCACCAGTCCATGGGGTGCTCGGATCATACTTGTTAAAAAGCACAATGGCAGTTTGCAGTTTTGTGTTGATTTCCGCAAGCTCACCAAGGTTTCTGTTGTGGATGCATACCCCTTGCCTCGTATGGACAATTTGTTGGACGCTTTGGAGGACACGCGGTTCTTTTCCACCCTTGACCTTCTGTCGGGCTCTTGGCAGTTGCCACTTGATGAGGCTTCAAGGCCCAAGACGGCATTTCGAACACCACAAAGGTTTTTAGTTTAACCGGCTTCCGATGGGGCTCCACTCCGCACTGGCCACCTTTCAGAATTTGATGGAGTTGGTTTTAGTGGGCTTCCAGTGGGATTCGTGCCTAATATATTTGGACGATGTCATTGCTTTTGGTCGCACGTTCGATGAGCATTTGAATCGCCTGCAGGCTGTTTTCGTTAAATGTGTGTGGCCGACCTGAAATTCAAGCCCCAAAAATGTCACCTACTCCAAAAATCGTTTCGATACTTGGGCCATATAGTCAGCGAATCGGGAATCGCGATAGACCCGGAGAAAACTTCTTGCATTCGGATGTGGCCAACCCCCACCTCGGCCAGCGAGGTGCGCAGTTTTATTGGCTTTGCCTCTTACTATCGCCAATTTGTCACGGGGTTCACATCTATTGCAAAACCTCTCCACGCATTGACAGCTAAGGGCCAAAAATGTCATTGGGGGGAGGAGGAGAAAGCTGCGTTCCGCTCCATTCGTGATGGGTTGGTAACGCCCCTCCCCTGCGTTATCCCGACTTTTCGTTGCCATTGGTGTTAGACATGGACGCCACCAATACTAGCATTGGTGCGGTGTTATCCGAAGTTGTAAATGGCGTGGAGTACGTTGTCGCGTATGGTAGCAGGGTGCTGTCTCCTGCCGAGCAGCGGTACTGTGTAATGTGCTGGGAACTATCGGCCATTGTGGTTTTTGTGCAACAATATTGGCTGTACTTGTACGGGATACATTTCCAGGTGCGCTCCGATCACGCGGCGCTCCAGTACGCGCTGCGTGTGGATCAGCCCTCAGGCAATTATCACGCTGGCTTGAAATCCTACAGGATTTTTCATTCCAAGTCACGTATCGTAAGGGTTCTCGCCATACGAACGTCAACACCCAATCACGATTGCCAGCGGGTGGGGAGTATGCTTGTTTTTCGGGTTCCAGGTCTTTGTCGACCGATCAACTCCCCTCTCGTTGCGTCCGATGGGCTGGACGGGCGACGTCCCTGCCACACGGGATGCGGTTATCGGGTTGGACTACAAGGTGTGGGGACGCCGGCAGGCAGAGGACGCGTTCCTCCTTAAGTTGCGCCGGTGTGTCAGGGAGACTGCCGATGGCACGGCTCCGCGACGTGTTGCCTCGTTTGTCCTGCGGGGCAGGCAGCTCATGTAATGGGACGGAGGATTGCGCCGTTATGCTATTGTTGTCCTTACCACCTTGCGTGGCGAGGTTTTATGGGCTGTGCATTAACGATTGTTGCATCTCGGAGTGCAAAAGACACTGGCTGCTTTTATTTGGATTTTTATTGGCTGGCCATGGCCTTCGACGTCGAGGATCTGCTTTAGGGCTGCGTGCAATGTGCCCGGAGGAAGCCGCCAGCGAAATCCTGTTGCCCTCCGCTGCAATCCATCCAGGTGTCGCGTGTTAACGAAACAGTTGCCCTTGATATTCTCGGGCCGTTTCCTACTTCCGCGCGTGGAAATATGTACTTGCTCGTGGGCGTTGAGTATTTCTTACGCTGGCCTATGGCCTGGCCGCTCCTGAATCAATCGGCTGTGACTATTATTGAGGCATTCCTCAATGGCTATGTTCTGGATAAGGGTGCCCCTAAGCGCCTCTTTGCGGATCAAGTTGCTGCGTGATGTTTGCGATTTGCTGGGGGGACGAAAAAGGCACGCATGTCGCCGTACCACCCGCAAACAGATGGCATGGTCGAACGCCTACACTGGACTCTGACTTCCATGTTGGGTCACTTCGTCAGCGAGTCACAGGGTGATTGGGACTTGCATATTCCTGCAGTTCTCTCCGTTTATAGGATGACCCCTCACGCGTCCACCGCTACTCTCCCTTCTTTTTGATGTATGGGAGGGGGTATGATCCTCCCATCGATGTGCATTTACAAGCCGCACCCGCCCCGAAAGTGTCCAAAATGTTTTATTCGGTTCGGTTCACGCTTGCCAAACTTCCCGAGGCGCGGGAAGCTGCCAGTGTTAACTCCTGGGCCAGACAGTTGTCCAACGAGCGGCTCAAAGGAGCCCGTGTTTCCCTGTGCGATTGGTCGCTGGGGGACAGGGCCTGGTTGCATTGTCCGCAGGTGCCGGTGGGCACATCTCCCAAATTTCTGCAACCATAGAGAGTGCCAGTTGATGTGGTTCGGGTCGTGCGGCCGCAATGTGTCCTAGATTCGGTTTGGTAAGCGGAGCTGGTTTGTACACCCCTCTCATCTTAAGCCATTTCTCGCGCCGTGTGAGTTTGTTTCATCCCCATATCACAGGGGCCGAGTGTGCCCGACGAGCTGGGGCGTGCGTCTGCTGACGCGGGTCCTCAGGAGAGTGTTTCTGTTCCGCCCTCAGGCGCCGCGTGATTGATGCCTCGCACGCGGCCGCTTGTGTCGGCCTCGCCTGCTCTAGACGTGAAGGACAATAACTTCATATTTGTGTATGTATATGTTATGTTTTTAAGAGAAGACAAGTTTTGAAATATATTTTTCCCCCAGGCAACGCTGGGTATTTCCCGCTAGTAATTAATAAAGCGAGAATCAGTAAAGCTTGAATGCGAGAGTGATTACTATTATCACGATTGATAATACATACCCCTAAACAACTTAGAAGCCAATAATAACTTGTGATTAATGTGAGAATCTATTAATTAACTGTTTAATTGAATACAAAATGATCTTGAATTCATAAAGTCGGAATAACTGTTGTTTATAATTGACAATAATTGCTCCTGATCATATGCATACACATTTCTTTGATTAAATGCATACTCTATGGGGACCTCATTTGCCAGTAAAAATATGATAATTGGTTCTTTACCCTTCTATCTGGCAACAAAACTGACACCTTTTTGCAAGGAGTCATGTTTGCATAGACCGCAATACCTGCAGTCATAAATACAAACAAAAGACATAACTCTGATAATGTGCACTGTCCTTGAAGTTGATTGGTCCACACCCGAGACAGCTTGCGTGCGCCTTTTGGCGTCATCTGGTCCAACCCATATGAGACTAGGCTCGAAGGAAAGCTGTCTCGGGTGTGGACCAATCAACTTCAAGGACAGTGCACATTATCAGAGTTATGTCTTTTGTTTGTATTTATGACTGCAGGTATTGCGGTCTATGCAAACATGACTCCTTGCAAAAAGGTGTCAGTTTTGTTGCCAGATAGAAGGGTAAAGAACCAATTATCATAAATGCATACTAATTGACTATTCATGATACTCAATTATTACATCATAATACATGGAATAAATTGCATAAACATTGAAATACATTTTAATAAATTAAAGAATACGTTTATATCGAGGGTACTCACACTTAAAAAACCTTTTAACATCTATTACACAACTGTAATATTAAAATGAGGATAACCATTCATATTTTAGTAGTTTGAATAATTTTCATGTTTATAATTGTCATATTGCACACGTAATATTTAATACGCATTTATTCACTTTTTTCAACGGTTTTACTTAACTTGACTCCTGTCGTGGTCAAAACGTGTAATCAAAATTGTCTACTTTCTGTTGTCCGATCAATTACAAATTTTGCACACGTACTCAGATCCGGTGACAATGCATGGCTGTATCAAAATCGGCATCAATGAATCTATTAATTCGCTACTTTAAAGCAATTTACATTTTGTATGGACGCGTTATTATTTATATATATTTGTGTAGGTAAAAAACGTCGCGGTCCCTAAACTCTCGAATCGCCTCGCCCAAGAAGCAGGCACCACGTGTCTCAGGCGCGCCTGCTCCGTGTGAAAGAGTTACGGCCACCCTCACTCCACACAAACAAAAGTTGTACATTGAAGATTAATTTGTAAAGTAATCAATTAATTCAAGTAAGCGTTGATGTGGGAGCAGGCGCCGCATCATTGACGTACTTCTCGACCATGAGTTAAACGAAGTTGTGAATAAAACTTTTTTTTACTTTTTAAGGAGTTTATTTATTTTTGCGACAACCCAATATAGTCAACAGTACAATGACCCCATGTAGCGCCGATTTCATGCGCGCTCACTTCTACAGGAGCGCTAAGCGAGCTCTGCCTGTACAAGGGCACCCACACCGACGCGGTGACGAGCAGCAACAGCCGAAAGCTACCTGCAGCTATGTATGTTGAACTTCTTTCGCACCGGATGGATAAATGGACAAACGGAACGCCGCGCTTTCTTAATAGCTTAGTATTTCTTTTTTAAGAGACAAGTCTTGAAATATGTTTTTCCCTGGAAAAATCTGGGTACTTCCTACTTGTTTGTTATAAATTCATAGTTTTTACCCCTTTTTATTTTTTATTCAAGTTACAGTGTTAATATATTCATGGGTTTGTGTAAATGTGTATGTTATTTCACCTATTTTCTTGAGTGTAATATTCTTTGGTTTTTTCGGTAAAGTCACGTATAAAAATAAAATAATAAATTAAATAATAGCATACGACGTTTCGATTGCAACACAAGCAATCATCATCAGGTATAATGAAATAGCGACATAGAATATAACCAGAAAACTATAGACAGACATATAAGCAGACAGATATCACCAAGATACATAGAGAGAGCAACCCAGGTACAGAGAGAGGTGATCGTCTCTGTGGGGTGGCCTTAAATAGACAGAGGGGGGCGGAGGCAGAGAGAGGGAGGGGGTAGGGAAAACATTTACATGTCAATGAGTACGAAGGGAGGGGAGTAAGGTAAGCAGGCTTAGAGGGAGACAGAACACACTAAATTAAATAACCTAGCAAAGTATCGAAATGTTATGTAAAACGACACAGAAAGTCGGTCAACACACAATTAACGCATTGCCTGGTCGATTACGTATTTCAAAGATTGCTAAGTTAGAATTTAAGTGTGAAAATTACAAAGAAAGACAAAACATAAAAAAGAGGAACGGAGACACACAGACAGAGCAGAACCTAAGAACGATACAAAACGAGTGTAGACAGAGAAAATTACAATTTTCACACTTAAATTCTAACTTAGCAATCTTTGAAATACGTAATCGACCAGGCAATGCGTTAATTGTGTGTTGACCGACTCTCTGTGTCGTTTTACATAACATTTCGATACTTTGCTAGGTTATTTAATTTAGTGTGTTCTGTCTCCCTCTAAGCCTGCTTACCTTACTCCCCTCCCTTCGTACTCATTGACATGTAAATGTTTTCCCTACCCCCTCCCTCTCTCTGCCTCCGCCCCCCTCTGTCTATTTAAGGCCACCCCACAGAGACGATCACCTCTCTCTGTACCTGGGTTGCTCTCTCTATGTATCTTGGTGATATCTGTCTGCTTATATGTCTGTCTATAGTTTTCTGGTTATATTCTATGTCGCTATTTCATTATACCTGATGATGATTGCTTGTGTTGCAATCGAAACGTCGTATGCTATTATTTAATTTATAATTTTATTTTTATACGTGACTTTACCGAAAAAACCAAAGAATAATTCCTGCAGTCACGAAAGCTCCAAAATTAAGATTGAGTGTAATACTTAATGGTTATTTTTTAATTCTCAGTTTTAACGGTTTGTCTGTTGTTTTTTGCTAATTAATCAGCATGTGTTTTGCGCGTTTGTATGTCTGTTTTTTGTATTTGTATGTTTGTGTGCATATTCATGCGTGCGTGTGTAATTAAATGAGTTGGGACAGTCCTCGCCTTACGACCATAATTAGTTCCTGAGACCCGGTTCGTAAGTAGGAACACAACAATCCACTGTATTTAAATGCCCATACGGTCTGTTATGAAATGTGTTAGGGTTCAGCAAAAAAAGGGAACATTGCTAAAGTAAAAATGTATAAATATTGTAGATTTGCATGTAATGCTGTATAGTAAATTAAAAACTAAAAATGATGTAACATGAATTGAAAAAAAATCTTCACTTACATTGAGTCCCGATGCTGGCTTACTTGTAGGAAGGGGCACAATGAGTCACTACAATTGCACAAAGAGAAAGATCCCCGGTATATCATGAACAGACTGTTGGGGCAAGTGCTGTTTGCGAGCACCTATAAAGACCGACACGGCACACGATAGGGTGGGTGGGCCAGCGCCACGCCCGGCCGCCTTTGTCTCCAGAATGACGATGTTTACACACCGCACAAGGTATTCTAAATTATGCCATGGGATGCGCTTGCCAGTATCAAAGTATGAAACATAAAAATAAGTTTTACCCTTTCTGGAAATAAAACAAAGCTTCAAATCAAGTTTAATGAAACAGATGTTAAGATGTTGACACCAAATACTTTTTTTCAAGGCATCAAGTCTCCATTAACTACACATACTTGTGGCGAACATGCAAACACACACTCTGGATATATGCCTTGTCTTTGAAACTGATTGGCCTACACCAGAGACCGCCTTCTTTATGGCCTAGTTCTGTTTGTCTTTTGGCGTTCTCTCGTCTGACACTTGTGAGGCTAGGCCATACAGAATGCGGTCTGGTGTAGGCCAATCTGTTTCAAAGACAATGCCTATATTATCAGAGCATGTTTGTTTGCATGTTCACAAAGTATGTGTGGTTAATGCAGACGATGCCTGCAAAATGTATATATTTTGATGTTTGAGCATCTTAATGCCTCCCGTTTAATTACCAGTTCTTAGTTTTCATCAAAGAGCCTCTCGGAGCTAAATAGACTTCACTCGGGAAATACCGTAAACGTCTGATGGTGAAATATCGTCCACACGTTCCAATGCTGAAAAAGTACCTGCAAACTACTGAGTCGGGAATACGCGCAGAAGCATCGCACCCCCCATTGCAACAAAAAAAGTTGTCTGAAGGCTCCTCAACTCGAGTACCGAGACTCGGTGAGGCAGTCAGCCAGGTTAAGACAAATTAAACAATTCAAGCAAATCAATCAGGCAAGGCCAGGAGGCAAGCCCTGCATAGCTAGGCCCCACATCTCATTGTTGCAATGTCACAACCTGGACATCGATCCATCATAGCTGCTACTCAGCTAATGTCCCTACGAGAGAAAGAAGAAGCGAGGCTTTTACCTGGGTAAACAACAATAATAATGACTACGATGTAAACATCTTACCTCGAGAAACAAACCGAGTAGCGATCAGAGAGAAGCAGGATCGAGTCCGTGACGTCACGCGGAAGGTGCCTGGTCGTGGGGATGACATTACGTCACTAGCTCTGTAAATAGTTTCGGGCCCATACATGGAGTGATTGGGCGAGGCTGTTGTAAGCGGATACATAATTATTGTCTTTCCGACAGACCTGTTCTTCACCTGAGGACGGCTGCTTGCGTTGTGGCCGAAACGTCGTGAGAATTGTATTTAATTATGTTTTATTTTATTATTTCCCTTCTACGTGACTTTACCGAAAGAACCAAGATGAATCCCTGCAGTCACGAAAGCTTTACATCGAAATTATTGAATACATTATGTTCATGATAAATTATGTTAATAGCCGAAACCCACATATGGATCGATTGAGCGTGGCTTTGCACAAATAAGGATTTTCTATACTCTTTGGTTCTTTCGGTAAAGTCACGTAGATAGAAAAAATGATAAAGGATTTTCCAGGCACGGGAATCGACAGATGAAGCCGATGTGACGTCACGCGGATGTGCGTTGTGGAGGGGAGATCCTTGATGACATGACGTTACTAGCGGGGTATCCTGCACCGCGCTGAGTGTTGAGTATTAACGTCAGAGACCGAGAGAAAGAGGGAGGGGGATGTTTTTAGAGTTTAAGTTTATTTAGATTTGTTTTACATTTCTCCATCTATATTACAGAGCTCCGTTAGGTGCGTGAGCTCAGGAACGAAAAAAACGTAAATATTTTAGGAAACAAGGACAATTCAGGTTAAGGAATAAGGATAGTCATCGACTTTACGAACACAATTAGTTCCTGGGACCCGTTCGTACGTTGAACGGTTCATAAGTAGGAACACAATAATGTACTGTATTTAAATGCCCATACGGTCAGTGTTTAGAAACGTGTTACGGTTCCACAAAAAAGGGAACCATTATTAAACTATAAATATATACATTTGCATGGGAAAGTGTAAAACAATGGCATAAAGTAAATAAAAGAAAGTAACATGAAAACAAAATCCGTTTTCTTTACCTTGAGTCCTGATTCTGGTTTGCTTGTGCAGGAGAGATTAATGCTTAATTAGAATAAGACAGTGATGCAGGCGAGGATGGTGAAGGGCATTTTTTTAATGAGACTTGCTACACCAGGGGTGGAGGGAATCCCATTAGCACCTACATCTCTGCTGTATTGACATAGTCAAGGCTTATTTTACCATGAATAGGCCAGGGCTCTGGGTTGTTAGTTGTGCTTTCGGAGTCCCTGACTCGCAGGCTTGGGTAAAACTACGTGGCTGGGTGTCAGCGCCATTCCCTGTTCACCTTGGGATGTCCGCTGGCTCCCACATGATTTAACATTTTTGACTACGTAGTTCGTGAAGTTTTCCATGGCTGTACTGGTGAAATTTACATCTGGTGCAGATACAATGGGAGGATGATCGAAGCCCGGGTGCGGTCAAAGGATGGCTCCATATTGGTCATCCATATTATGAATGCTGATGATCTGGTGATTGCTGCTCAGAGAAAGAGGCGCTGCTGCTGTGCCTGGAGTGTGTCACAAGATGGTGGAGCCTTACCATCAGCTCCACCAAAACTAAGCACCTGCCTGGGTATTTCGTGCCATTAAACACTCCACCCCTCAACTCTCTATTTGTAATGGAAAGTTGAGGGAGAGAATAGAGAGTTTTCCAGTGGAAAGTTTTCCATACCTGTGTTGTGGTGCAAACCACGACTCAGAGGCAGGTCTTGGAGGGGGCTTCCGCCAAGTTTATTCGGGGCTTACGCCTAAGTAATTACAGCTCCCGCCTACTGTCCACGGCTATCTATTTCCCCTCCAGGGAAGGGGTACTGGGAGTCCCTAACACCCCCCCCCCCCCCCCCCCCGGCTATCTGGGCTTTTTCCCCTGCACCGGCCGAGGGCTGAACCAACTTTGGCCGGTCGGGTGAATTAGCCTCGTGTGAGGTTATCCTACCCTGGTTCCCAACTCCCTCTCCTCGTTCCCCGGCTCCCTCGACGACCCCGCTTACGTCACGGGGTCCCCTTTAAATATCCCCTTGGGACATGACATCACCGTCCCCCGAGGTCTCCCTGACCTCACTTTCTCCGACGTCACTCCCTCGGAGGGTGAGCGTGACGTGCCGTCACCCGCTACTGGACAGTATGGTCCAGTAGCGGTCCAGTACACCTGGACAGTATGGTTATGACCAGCTCCGGTTTGACAGCAGAGGTCTCACTCCGAATCAGTCGGATGGCATCTTTTCATCAGCTGCTTAACGCTGTGTGGAGGCTACCTGGTATGACCCTCTAAACAGAAATCTTTGGGTCTTCTTGGCCCTCACTTTCTTCTATTCTTACAAAACGTGGATCACTCTAATGGAACATCTGTGCAAGTTAGAAACATTCAGGCTGGCCTGCCTACGATCCATCCGGGGTTTAACCAGGCTGTAATGTGTGAGCTCACCAATATTTGAAAGATCTGAACACATTTACATTAGTTGAGCTCCTCTGGCAGGAACGGCTGCATTGGCTGGGTCATGTGGACTGCATGCCCAGCCACTGCATGCCCAAACAGCTTCTGTTTGGCCGGATAGGGGGGCTAAATGGGCGTAACACGGGCTGTAAAACAGATTGTCTGATGCAGTAGAAGATGATGTGGAGCTCGGTGGACTTGCTGAAGACTGGTATCAGCGTTGTCAAGATCCGTAGGCTTGTGAAGGACAATACTTGGCAGTTGGAGGTAGTCACCCTTCAATAACGGAGGGCATATGAGCGATGCTCACAACAACAGGCAGAATGCCGGGTGGCTAAAATATAGCAAGTTGGCACAGTTAGTGCATCTGCCAGTCATCTCAGTCAGTCAACCCATGGCACCTGGTCTGTTGCACAACGTCCTATCAGCGAGCGTTCGACACTTGACTTGGCCTCAAAGTGCACCAAGCCTGGCAAAAGCGCCATGGGTACATCACTGCCATTTAGTGGCGAATGGCGAATGTTGTGTGTACAATGTGTAGAGTGTGTGTACACCGTGTGTGTACACTATCTGAATTATGCGTCTACACCGTGTTCTGTGTACACTATGACCATGTATATTGTGTGTTGTGTGTGGTCTGCGTATTTATTGTGTACACTGGGTGTAGTTGTGAGGCTGAGTTGACCTAGGGGAGGCCCAGATCCAGAGCAGATAAGTGTCACGTTAGCATTTTTCGTGTGGCGTGATCGGAGGGCAAGTGAGCTAATTGAAGTAAAACTAGCTAGACTCGTCACGCTTAAGTTAGTCCACCATGCACTAGACTCCTCACGTTATATAGTGAGTAGTCTGTCCCATGCTATACTCTTCACATTATAGCGAGTAGTCCATCAAGTGCTAGACTCCTTGCGTTATAGAGAGTACTAGCAGAAGTACCCGGCGTTGCCCGGGTGAAAAATATATTTCTTAATAACCTTACATATATACACAGATGGGCTGCTACCCCCCCCCCCCCCCCCAGCCACGATCTCCTCGGCCGCTGTGCAGTAATATGTACGGCATATAGTGTGGTGGGGTGTCGAGGCCTAGTACCGTGCAGAGCCTCCGGCCTCGCCTAAATTGCCCACCCGGCTGAGGCTGGGTACCGGGGCCGTTACCCCCCCCCCCCCCCCGCGCTCCAATAATACTGTCTAATCGCTATAATTTTATAATCTACCGACCCTATAATAGTAATTGCACACATTGTGGTGGGGGGGGGAGTGAAGAGGATGTGAAACTTTGATGAATTTACCTCAGAGTCGTGTGGTGGGTGTCGAGGCCTAGTACCGTGCAGAGCCTCCGGCCTCGCCTAAATTGGTCACCCGGCTGAGGCTGGGTACGGGTGCCGTTCCCCCCCCCCCGCGCTACAATAATACTGTCTAATCGCTATAATTTTATAATCTACCGACCCTATAATAGTAATTGCACACATTGTGGTGGGGGGGGAGTGAAGAGGACGTGAAACTTTGATGAATTTACCTCAGAGTCGCGTGTTAATGCGTGCGCATATTTTTAACGGGAATTAAAAATGGCGTCCACCCCGCAGCGAATGCGTCGCTACCCGTTGCCAGGGGCAACCGCCGTCCAATGAAACTGCGTATGGTCCGGCGACACACAGACACACACACAGACAGACAGATTTGCGATTTTATATATATAGTGAATATACAGCAGTGTGGTATACAGTAGGGTTGGTAGAATAATACATAGTGTAATATTACAAGTCTAATGTTATTATAGTCTATAGTAACGCAGTGTATAATTAAATTTGGGGTCTGTCTATGTCAGCTTATAATACGGGGTATAGTCGTGTGATGTAAGAAAAAGATTAGATGAAGGCATATAATCATTTTTGCGACATTGAAGTGTAATGTATAATGACTTATTGTTAGTAGCTCAGCTTATTGGAGATTATATTGAGTATATTGATGATAATGATGTAGTTTATATTTGAGTTTTTTATCGGTTCACTATATGATTAAGTAACTGGGTATACAATACACTATATGATAATCATTATATAGTGTATTGTATACCCAGTAACTTAATGTTAATAGCTCAGCTTATTGGAGAATATATTGAGTACATTGATTATATTGATGTAGTTTATATTTAGTTCTTTCACATAGGTTTATTGTATGATAGTGGGTGGTTGCAGTTCTTTGGCGTCAATATACTAAATGCCTCTGTTGATATGTAAACTCTGACTTTAACATAGCCACTTCCGTGACCAGTTACATGCTAATTCCTCACATTAACATCATGCTAATCTCCCAGTTACATGCTAATTTCTGACTTTAACATCCTGCTAATTATCTCACATTAACACAGCTTATTCAATGCAAAATTATTCTGTTGATATGTAAACTCCTTTGTCAAGGCGCTCTTCTCCTCCCACCCAGCTTAAAATACGCTGCCAAGCTTAGCAGTGTTCATTGGAGCGCTGTCTTTCAGGCAGCTCTGTCTTCACCTGAGGACGGCTGCTTGTGTTGTGGCCGAAACGTCGTGAGAATTTTATATTATTATGTTTTATTT